GGCCCCCGCCCCCGCCCCCCCAGGGTCCCCAGACCGGGTGGTTGGAGTCTTAAAGTGCCCAGGCTGGAAAGTGGGGGTCTCCGGGGAGAAGGTGTCCCTGGACGTCCTCTGGTCGGGGCTCTGGATGGGGCTTGGCCAGAGGGGCAGCCGGGTCTGAAGGCCCCGCTGACCCGCAGGGCCCAACGAGACAGCACCCTTCAAGCCCGAGGGCGACCTGCATGAACTCAGCACCAAGCTGCTCCTCCATTACTCACCTCAGGTACTGGGGGGGGGGGCTCACCCCGTTACCTCCCCCAGCACCCCACTGTCTGCCGCCCCCTCCACCTGACTCTGGCTGCCCGCTTGTCCTGCCCACAGGCCTGTAAGAACAACATCTGCCTGGACCTGTCCCCTGGGCACGGGCTGGACGGCCGCCTGACGGGCCACAGGGTAGAGACCTGGGACGTGAAGGTGTGTGCACACGCGGGCGGTGCGTGCAGAAAGCGTGAGCGTGGGCACGTGTGCGTACAGGGTGGGCTGGGGAGAGGCACGGTGCCCTGGAAGGTGAGGTGTGTGTACACGCGGGCGGTGCGGCACCAGGCCAGGTGGAGGGGTGACAGGGCTCCAGGGACCGTGAGTGTGGGCACGTGTGCGTACAGGGTGGGCTGGGGAGAGGCACGGTGCCCTGGGAGGCCTTTAGGAGACCTGGGTTCAAGAGCAAATCTTCCCTGGCCCAAGCACCCAGACCAGGCATGATGGGGTGGCCTGGCCAGGGAAGGGCTGGGAGCTGCCTCTCACAGCCGCCCCGCCCCCCAGGACGTGGTGACCTGTGTGGGGGGCATGGGTGCCCTGCTGCCCCTCCTGGAGCGAGTGGCTGCCCAGCCCCAAGAGGCCGAGGCAGGTCCAGCCGAGACGCATGACCTGGTGGGGCCCGAGCTGACCTCTAGCCACAACACCCAGGGTCTGCCCCTTCCTCTAGGCAAGTCCCCAGGTAAGTGTCCCGGGTGCCCGGGCTGAGGAAGGGGAGGTTGGTGCCGTGGGGGCTGTGGCCACGGCCGGCCCTGACACACATCTGTCCCCTCCTGGCGGCCACAGAGGAGCGGATGGAGAGGAACGCGGTGGCGGCCTTTCTGCTGATGCTGCGGAACCTCCTGCAGGGCCACCCTGTGAACCAGGAGAGCCTGGTGCAGTGCCAGGGCCCTGCCATCCTGGGGGCGCTCCTGCGCAAGGTGGGCCTGGGCCGGCGAGGGGCTGCCTGTCTGGTGGGGGACCAAGAAGCCGTTAGGCAGGCAGAGCCTCCTGGGAGAGGTGGCATTCGAAGGGGCCTTGAAAGGCGGGGCAGGCCCGGCCGGCAAGCTCAGTGATTGAGCGTTGACCTAGGAACCAGGAGGTCACGGTTCGATTCCCGGTCGGGGCACAGGCCCGGGTTGCAGGCTGGATCCCCATTGTGGGGCGTGCAGGAGGCAGCCGATCCGTGATTCTCTCTCATCACGGATGTTTCTCTCCCTCTCCCTTCCTCTCTGGGAGGCTGGCCGGGCGGCGGGCAGGGCCGGGCATCTCACTCCACCTCCTGCACTCCAGGTGCCCAGCTGGGCCATGGACATGAACGTGCTCAAGTCTGCCCAGCTGCTGATGGAGCAGGTGGCCGCTGAGGGCAGTGGGCCCCTCCTGTACCCGCTGTACCACCACTTGCTCTTCAACTTCCACCTCTGGGCCCTTGGCGACTTCGCTGTGTGCCTCGGTAGGTGCGAGCCTTGGGTGGAGGGACGCCGCCAGGCCAGGCGACAGTGGAGAGTCCGAGAAGCTCCGCCCCTGCTCTGAAGGGACATGGTTGCCCTGGGGTGTCTGAGGGGAACGGGACCCTCGCTGGGGGTGTCGGGTAGGAGGATGGGAGAGGGCCCGCTCAGCCTGGCGGCCTGAGTCCTCTGTGCTGCCCGCTCAGGCCACATCCAGTACATGGCCAGCGTCATCCGCAAGCACAGACCGAAGCTGCAGAAGAAGTACGGGGTCCAGTTCATCCTCGATGCCCTGCGCGCCCACTACAGGTGAGGCTGGTGAGGGGCAGGTCACCAGGGGCTGCCCCCCCGCCGCCTCTGGCCTTGGGGCTGGGCGGTCCAGTCTCCCCAGCTCACTGCCACCCTCCCTGTTCTCTCTCCTCTGCCCCTTGCGTTCCCCTGGCCCTGGGTGTGGGGCACCGACCTGTGCAGCTCACAGCGGGAGTGCCCCCTGGCGGCCGACGAGCTGCGCATGGTGCGGACGGCACTGCTGGAGCTGGTTCGGGAGCTCCTGGCGCCCAGCTCCCTGGCCGAAGACCTGCAGGTGGTGCTGAGCTTCCTGGCAGCTGCGGGTGATGCCGGCCAGGTAGGCTGGAGGCCGGTGACAGGGCGGCTTGGGCGAGGCCGGGGTGTGGGCCACGTGGGGAGGCCCAGCCCAGTGTGAGCCTGTGTGTCCCCCAGGTGCTGGGCGCCCTGAACCTGCTGCTGATCCTGCTGGGCTCCTCTGCCCAGGAGCTCGTGGCTGGCTTCCTGCTGGAGCCGGGAAACCTGGAGGTGCTGCTGGCACTGCTGGTGCGACTGTGGTCACTGCCCCAGCTGCCCAGGAGCATCTGCAAGGTACGCCCAGCCCACCCGCCCCTGGTGTCCCTCCTGCTGTGGCCACTGCCCGAGGCCCAGGGCGCTGCATGTGGCTTTGCCTCCGCGGTGACTTCCTCCCGGGGGTGCCGTCCGCCCAGGTCCTGCACAGACTGCAGCAGATGGAGCACCTGCCTGAGCACAGCCGCCAGCGGCTTTGGCTCCAAGAGGGTGGCCTCCAGGGGCTCATCGCCTGCCTGCCAGAAGGGGCGGTCTCCCTCCAGCTCTGCCGGGGCCTCTACAAGCTGTTCCTGGGCACAGGTACCACCTGCTGGGCTCGGAGGGCAGGCCAGGTGGAGGGGTGACAGGGCTCCAGGGACCGGGCAGGTGGGAAGAGGCAGGTGCTGGTGGAGGGGCCGGGGCTGAGCCAGCAGGGGAGGAGTAGGGGGAGGGTCCGGCTCCAGCTCTCAGGCCCTCTTGCCCTCTTCCCAGACTGCCTGAGCCTCTCAGACCTGATGGCCGTGGTGCAGCTGTCCCTCCAGGCTGACCTCGGTGTCCGCCTGGACATCTGTCGCAAGGTGAGTGCGGCGGCAAAGCTTGGGGGGGCCACCCCGAGAGCTCACTTTGTCTGCGGCAGTGAGGGGCCCTGGGGTCTCCCCAGAAAGGCTCCAGGCCGGGCCGGGGGCAGATCTCGGGCGAGCCCCTCACGCTTGGTGCCTTGGCCCGCAGCTCTTCCACCTCTTCTACGGGCAGCCCGACATCGTGCGGCTGCTGGCCCGGCAGGCTGGCTGGCAGGACGTCCATTCCCCTCGGAGCTGCCCGCCTCCCCAGAGCCAGCCTCACCCAAGCCACTCACCGAGTCCCCTGAACCTTCGGACGTCTTCCTGCCCTCGGAGGCCCCCTGCCCAGACCCCGATGCCTTTTACCACGCTCTCTCCCCGTTCTGCACACCCTTGGACCTGGGCCTGGAACGGTCCAGTGTGGACTCGGGCAACATCGCAGGTGGTGGCAGCGGGACCCTTACTCCCGCCAGCCAGCCGGGTACACCCTCCCCGCTGGATGGGCCCCGGCCCTTCCCCGCTGCCCAGGGCCGCCACAGCTCCAGCCTCTCCAACGTGCTGGGGGACGGCAGCCTCCCCGAGCCCACCGCCAGTGGGGACGACACCTCTAATACCAGCAACCCTCAGGTGGGCAGGCCCCCCCTGCCACTGCATGGCACTGGCGGGG